TAGGAATCAGGCAGACCTGGGTTTGATTCAGGCCCTAGGAGTTACTAACTGTGTGACCTTGATCAAGACACTGAAAGTTTTGATCAATAATTCCATAGAAGAATCCTGATATAAAGGGGAAAATGCAGAACAGAAGTAGAAATTTGTATGGATTCCAGATTTTCTGGAGCCAAGAGGGCTGGATGAACCCCTGAAAGTATTGCCCTGAGATAATCTTTAAAACCTAAACCAGAAATATCCCCTGAAGTTTTCCTAAAACCAAATAATTTAGCTTACCTAGAAAAAATGCCTGCCTTGAGAATCATGCTCTTTTAAGGACTATCTGTACAGGATCAAATTGATAATAGCCACTCCAAACAGAAACACTAGGGAGTAGTGAGTTTATGTAAATAGGGGAGGAACAACTCAAAAAAGGAGAGTTCGGATGGTTGCCCAACTTGAAGAATGTAATTAATGTCACTGACTTGTACATACAGAAACAGTTGAATTGGTATATGTTTTGCCCAAAAATATTTAAAAAAAAAAAAAAGACATTGACCTCCCAAAATTTCTTCATGGATAAAGGAGAGAAAGGAGCACAGTGCCTAAGGTATCTGATTGCTAACCAGAAGGTTGGTGGTTCAGACCCACAAGCCACTCCACAGAAGCAAGACTGGGCAATCTACCTCCATAAAAATTTACCACCTCAGAAACCCAATGGGGGTTGCTATGAGTTGGGATCAACTCAATGGCAGTGAGTTGGTTTTAGTTTTTGATATAAAACAGTGAATCACGCCAGGCTGTTATAGGATCAAATGAGATAAGATCTGTGAAGCATTTTGGTAAATTGTAAAACACACACACACACACACATACACTTTGTTGTTGTTAGGTGCCATCGAGTCATCTTGGACTCATAGCAACTCTATGTACAGCAGAATGAAACACTGCCCAGTCCTGTGCCAGCTCCATGATCCTTGCCATACCTGAGCCCATCATTGTAGCCACTGTGTCAATCCATCTTGTTAAGGGCCTTCCCCTTTTTCATCGACCCTCTGCTTTACCAAACATGATGTCCTTCTCCAGGGAATGGTCCCTTCTGACAACATGACCAAAGTAGGTGAGACAAAATCTGGCCATTCTCACTTCCAAGGAGCATTCTGGATACATTTCTTCCAGGACATATTTGTTAGCTCTTTTTGTAGTCAATGGTGCTTTCAGCATTCTTCACCAATATCACAATTCAAAAGCATCAACACTTCTTTGGTCTTCTCTATTCATTGTCCAGCTCTCACATGTATATGAGACAATTGAAAATACCATGGCTTATGTCAGGCACACCTTAGTCTTCAAGGAGTTATCTTTACTCTTCAGCACTTAAAAGAGGTGTTTTGCAGCCAATTTTCCCAGTGCTATAGGTCATCTGATATCTTAACTGCTGCTTCCATTGGGGTTGATTATAGAACCAAGTAATATGAAATCTTTGACAACTTCAATCTTTTCTCCATTTATTATGATGCTGCTTATTGGTCCAGTTGTGAGGATTTTTGTTTTCTTTATATTGAGGAGTAATCCATACTACAGACTGTAGTCTTCAGTCTTCATCAGTAAGTGCTTCAAGTCATCCTCACTTTCAGCAAGCAACGTTGTGTCATCAGCATATCGCAGGTTGTTAATGAGTCTTCCTCCAATCCTGATGCCATGTTCTTCTTCATATAGTTCATTTGCTCAGCATATAGATTGAATAAATATGATGAAAGAATGCAACCTTGACACACTCCCTTCTTGATTTTAAACCATGCAATGTCCCCTTGTTCTGTTAGAGTGACAGCCTCCTGGTCTGTGTACAGGTGCTTCATGAGTACAATTAAATTTTCTGTAATTCCCATTCTTCTCAATGTTATCCATAATTTATGATCCACACAATCGAATGTTTTTGTGTAGTCAATAAAACACAAGTAAACATCTTTCTGGTATTCGTTGCTTTCAGCTAAGATCTATCTGACATCTGCAATGATATCCCTTGTTCTACGTCCTGTTCTAAATCCAGCTTGCATCTGTCAATATACTGCTGCAACTGTTTTTTAATTATCTTCAGTAAGATTTTACTTGTGTGCAGTGTTAATGATATTGTTAGATAATTTCCACATTCTATGGGATCACCTTTCTTTGGAATGGGTATAAATATGGATCTCTTCTAGTAAGTTGGCCAGGTAGCTGTCTTCCAAATCTCTTGGCATGACCAAGCGAGTGCCTCCAACGCAGCATCCATTTGTTGAAACATCTCAATGGGTATTCCGTCAATTCCTGAAGCCTTGTTTTTCACCACTTCCTTCAGTCCAGCCTTGACTTCTTCCTTAAACACCATTGGTTCTTGATCATATGCCACCTCCTGAAATGGATGAACATTGACCAGTTCTTTTTGGTACAGTAACTTTGTGTATTCCTTCCATCTTCCTTTGATGTTTCCTGCATCATTCAATATTTTGCCCATAGAATCTTTCAATATTGCAACTAGAGGTTTGAATTTTTTCCTCAGTTCTTTCGGCTTGAGAAATGCTGAGCGTGTTCTTCCCTTTGGCTTTCTAACACCAGGTCTTTGCACATTTCATTATAATCATTGACTTTGTCTTCTCGAGCTGCTCTTTGAAATTTTCTGTTCAGCTCTCTTATCTTCTCATTTCTTCCATTTGCTTTAGCTACTCTTTGTTCAAGGGCAATTTTCAGAGTATCTTGTGACATCCATTTTGGTCTTCTCTTCCTTTTCTGTCTTTTTAATGACCTTTTACTTTCCTCATGGATGATGTTCTTGATGTCATCCCACAATTCCTACAGTTTTCAGTCTTTGGTGTTCAATGCATCAAATCTATTCTTTAGATTGTCTTCAAATTCAGGAGGGATGTATTCAAGCTCATATTTTGGCTCTCATGAACTAATTTTAATTGTCTTCAACTTCAAATTGAACTTGCATATAAGCAGTTGATGGTCTGTTCCACAATCAACTGCTGGCCATGTTTTGGCTGAAGATATTGAGCTTCTCCATCACCTCTTGCCACAGATGTAATCAATCTGATCCTTGTGTACTCCATCTGGTGAAGTCTACATACATAGCTGCAGTTTGTGTTGTTGAAAAAAGGTATTTACAATGAATAAGTCATTGGTCTTGCAAAATTCTATCATGTGATCTCCAGCATTATATCTATCACCAAAGCCATGTTTTCCAACTACCAGTGATTCTTTTTTGTTTCCAACTTTTGCATCTCAATCACCAGTGAAAATCGGCACATCTTGATTGCATGTTCGGTCAATTTCAGACTTCAGAAGTTGGTAAAAATCTTCAATTTCCTCATCTTTGGCTTTGGTAGTTGGTGTGTAAATTTGAATAATATTATTATTAACTGGCCTTCTTTGTAGGTATATGAATATTATCCTATCACTGACAGCATTGTACTTCAGGATAGATCTTGAAACAGAGAAGAAACAGCTGCAAACATCCATTAATAATCAGAACATGAAATGTACAAAGTGTGAATCTAGGAAAATTGGAAGATGTCAAAAATGAAAGAGAATGCACAAAGATTCATGTCCTAGGTATTAATGAGCTGAAATGGACAAGCTTTGGCCCTTTTGAATCAGACAACCATATGATCCACTATGCTGGGAATGATGAGTTGAAGAGGAATGGAGTGGCATTTATCATAAAGAATGTTTCAAGAATATTTTCACTATTTATATCTAAATATTCTAAGGAGCTCTAGTGGCATAGTGGTTAAGACATTCAGCTGCTAATCAAAAGGTCAAATGTTCAAACCCACCAGCCACACTAAGGGAGAAAGATGAGACTCTCTACTTCCATAAAGATATACAGCCTTGGAAAACTTAAGAGGCGGTTCTACTGCATCCTAAAGGGTTACTATGAATCAGAACCAATGCATTGGCAGTGGGTACAAATATTATTCTCAGAAATAACATTAGGAGTGAATAGTGGTTTGTCTTAGGCTGTGGAACATTGGTATATTACTAAGACAATTGAGATGTAAAGAGATACACAAACTATTTATTCATTTACAAGCTAAAACACAAATGACTTCCAAAAACCTAATTAAGCAAATGGCTTTTTATTGTATTTTATTTAGAGTAAAATATACAAAGGTGAATAAAATCCAGTCCATATTCTCAAAGCAGTGGCATTCTAATGGCGATGGATGAAAAATATAGATAATAAAGGTCTTCAAGTTTTCCCACTGAGTGCTGTGGGAATTCACAGGTGGAACAGGAAATGTCCACATGGGATAATCAACAGGCAGGACTAGAGTAAAGGAGTGGGTAATGGTGTACTCATGGATGGATATTGACAAGGTACTTGATGGTATCAGAGGATAGGTTATCCAGATGCTCTCTTAGAATGATTGACAAACAAGAGAAATCAAGAAGAAGCTGGTAATCTCAGCAAAAACTAATGGACCAAACAACTGGAGATACTAGAAGGGAAAAAAAGGGCAAAGAAGGGCAGACAGGTGTGAACAAAAGAGAATTTTAGAGACAAAAACAGTTATGATGCATGGAAAATTAAACTTCTACTTAAAAGTGGGTAGCATTCTTTGTTGTTGTTGTTGTTATTTGCCATCAAGTCGGCCCCGACTCATAGCGACCCCTCCTTGGGGTGCCCAACCTTCCTTCCGAGGAGTGGCTGGTGGGTTTGAACCGCCAGCCTTCTGGTTAGCATTCTTTAGTGCTTTGAAATCCCATCAAATCTCATTGGAGGTTTCATTTTGATTCTTTAGAAAGTTGAGTCTAGTGCTACCACAAGCTTCTGTGAATTTGCTGACAAAACAGTTTACATGTCTTCTGTTCTGATGACTAACCCTTCTAGGTCAGCTTGGCTTGCCCAAAACAGAACATACTCTCCCTTCCGTCTCCAGGAAACTGAAACCTAAAGAAAAGTGACTAGCCCAAGACCACTATGTCCATTAAAGTTCGAAGCCGAGTGAAGTCCAAATTTCTTGCCTCTTCTTCCTCATCTATTTCTCTTCCCAAATCACTTTCCTCCCCACCAGTCTCCTCATAGCATTCTTCACTTCAGCATTCCTGAAAGAGTAAATGATGGGGTTTAAGAGTGGTGTGATCACCGTGTAAAACACAGCCACTATCTTGTCCACAGGGAAGGTGACACAAGACCTCATGTAAACAAAGGAGCAGGGTATGAAGAACAGGCCCACAACTGCAATGTGTGAGGCACAGGTGGCAAGGGCCTTGCGCCGCCCCTCTGAGGTCTGATTCCTGAGTGAGAGCAGGATGACCACATAGGAAGTAAGCAACACAGTGAAGCTGATCACAGAAATGGGGCCACCATTAGCGATGATTAGCAGACCAATGAGGAAGGTGTTTGAGCTGGCCAGCTTCAGCACAGGATGGACATCACAGAAGTAATGATCAATGGTGTTGAAGCCACAGAAGGGGAGCTGGAAAATGAGGAAGGTTTGCCCAGCAGAGTGCAGCAAGCCCCCACCCCAGGCAGCCCCCACCAGGAGGCCACACACACGCCGGTTCATAATCGTCGTGTAGTGCAAGGGCTTGCAGATGGCCACGTAGCGGTCATAGGCCATCACCGTCAGGAGAAAGATCTCGGTGCCTCCAAAGAAATGGAGGAAAAATATCTGTGTGAAGCAGCCCTTGAGGGAAATCACTTTCCTCTCAGTAAAGGAGTCAATGATGAGCCTCGGGGCTGTGACAGAACAGTAACAGATCTCCACAAAAGACAAGTAACTGAGGAAGAAATACATGGGGGAGGTGAGGGCTTTGCTGGTCATTATGGTCACCACAATGAGACCATTGCCCAACACAATGGCCGTGTACATGAGGAGAAACACCACAGAAATGATCTTCTGCACATCTCGGTTCTGGGAAAATCCCATGAAAATTATTTCAGTCATGTTGCTTGTAGCCACCATGGTTTACAGTGTAGGAGATGACAGCCTGGAATCACAGAAACCAAAGAACTCTCCTTCAGTAATTAGAAGCCTGCTTTTCAGGCCTTGGAACTACTGTCAAACTGCTTCCTCCTGAGTTCCCGCTCTGCCTTTGGTTCCTCAAAACCATGTTCTCCATGAGACGCGTGTAGAAAAGGACCATCGTTGGCTGTTTGATATCACTCCCAAAATGGGATATGAGCTTGTAATGATGCCCTCTTGAAATATTTTCTCTGATCCAGGCACATATATTAGCTAATTTAATCCTAAAAAAAAAAAAAGAGAGAGAGAGAGGATATTTATCATTAGAAACTAAGGTTAAGTCACTAACTTAAAGCCATGCAATTCATATTTGAATTTAGGTGCATATTTTCAAATGCTTCTACTACACCTGTTATTTCTTCAGAGTGCCTTACGTTGGTTGCATAACAAGAGTTTTATATCAAGTTTGCCTTGCAATATAATGTGGAACTGATTAACTTCAATGATTGCTGGAATTTCCCAGCTCCAATTATTCAGCAGCCAGTGAAACTAACCTGGGCTTAAGAAAGACTAACAAACAGGCATAAGAAAGAAGCTAAGGGAAGGAAAAGGACAAACATGCCAATATTCAGCCTCTATCCTTGGAAGTGAGTATAGAGACTGGGAAATGTGAGGCTTAACAGACTGCCTCATGGTCTTAGGGTTCAAGGCTAAGAAACAAGTCAAAGACATGGAAGTCTCATTTTACTGCACAGTCTACTGTTCCATGGGCTTATCATAAAATGCTTACATCAGAATCCCAGAGCACAGCAGGTCTACACAAGGAAGGCCTAGAAGATGATGTCAAACCTGCCTCCTACAGCAACATCATCTTAAAGAGATTCAGACATACATGACAGAGAACTCTGAGGACAGACAGAGGGGGACCAGACACCATAAATCCAAAATCATTGCCTTTTGAGTGGTTAGTCCCTCAGGATAAACAAAGCTTGTTAGCAATCCCTAAAATATCCTGAATTGATATTCACACACTTTGGAAGGTAGGTTGCAGTCCCAGCCAGTCCTCTGCATGTTAGAAAAGGGCTGAAGCACTGTGACTGAATGACACAGACACAGGGTTTGGAGTCAGAGAACCTGGGTTCAAATCCTAGCACTGTCACTTTCTAGCTTTGTGACCTTATTAAATAAGTGCAGAAACTCAAATCTATAATTTTCTTTGGAAAACTGGGAATAAAAATACTTTTTGTATAGTTCTTTTTTGAGAATTTAAGGGACTCGGACATTTTAAACACAAATGACAAACCATGAGAGTATAATCTATTACTCATTTGCTCTGTTTTCCCCTATTAAAATGACACACTCCAGTAAAGTAGAGAGGGTCAGCCGAACAAGATGGGTTCACATAGCGGCTGCAACAATGGGCTCAAACACACCAAACGCTGTGGGGATAGTGCAGGATCTGGCAACATTTCCTTCTTTTATCCATAAGGTCAGCCTGAGTCTGAACTGACCCAAAGGTAACTAACAATAACCACAACCCCCTGTGCCACAGGCTGTTGCTGCCGGAAGCAGACTTGCCACCCAGGCTTGCTTTGTGCAGACCTGCTGTGCTCTGGGTTCTGATTTATGTATGTTACAAATGAGACTGAAAGCCCTTACCTGTTACCCAGCAGTTAGTCACCGGACCCTAAGGGCATCCTGTTTCTGCTTCATTATTTTCCCCTCCATCCCCACCACCAAGGACAGTGGTTGAAACTTGCTGACTTCACCTTCCACCCCCCTTAACTTCTGTCTTATGCCTGTTAGGGAGCCCAGGTGGTTTCACAGTTTACAGAGTCATTTATGGTGTAAGACAAAACTGAAATGAAATTCTTATTGTACCACCAATGTAAGGACCTCTGCTAAAGTGAGAGGTGCAGTGGAAATATCTACATACCTTTTCAAATATGAGCTGTATGGCTTTAGGCAAATGACTAAACCTCTGTGATCATCCATATCTTTATAAGCTAAGGCTAATATTATCTTCTCACCATTGTGCTCTTCCCTTACCTCCCCACCACACTCCTCTGTATACCCAGCTAATCCAGCATTTACAGTAAGCACTATACTGTAAGTCAATGTTTCACAAACAGGATATTGATGAAGAAGACAGGAATCTTAGAAGGCCCTGCATCACCCTCAGTGAGGAAAATGGCTCTATTACCTTCTGTGAAATTTAGTTTCAAAAGGGAAAGCTCTCTATTCCTATAATGGCTTCTGACTTGGAGTGTCAGTGAGAGAAGTCCGCTCAGAGAAGTTGCAAGGACCACTTTAATTTTCAGATTTTAAAAATAGTTATTCTTTCCTTGTCCAAGGTTGTTGAAGGTTAAAATTATAATGTAAATTTTTAAAATAAAATACTAAAACTTATTTTAGAATGAATGAAGAGGAAACTAACATTTCTTGAAACTGTGAATAGAAATGGAAAATATTTGAGCATAACTTCATACAGAGGTCATCAAACCAATTAGACAGTGGCCATGGCATTTTACCTGTGGAGTCTACAATAACTTTAATTCTGCCTTTTTATTATTATTATTATTATTGAGGCTAAAACAAGAAACTCTGAAGGACAGGTAAGAGTTTTCATCAGATGGAGAGTAACCAAACATTTTCAGCAATTGAAGTTAAGGAAACTGAAAATTAGGATGAACATAGAAGCATAAGATGAGCCAAAGCCAACAAACAATGTCTATGAAAATACTTCCAATCTTTAAAATGAATCTGGCCCCTACTCAATGGTTTCTCATTTCATTTTCTCTGTTCTGTAAACACATGTGCTGTGAAGTTCTGAAAAATAAGATTTATCTGGCTTCTCTGTATGAAAAATGAATTTCCTCTGTGAACTTTCACCTAAATCACAATAAAATTTTTTAAATTAAAAGAAAAAAAATTCTTCTTCCATGGGAGCTCTGGTAGCGTAGTGCATAAGGCACTTGACTGCTAACCAGAAAGCTGGTGGTTCAAACCCACCAACCACTCCTCAGAAGGAAGATGGGGCAATCTATTTCCATAGTGATACTGCCTCAGAAACCCAAGGAGGGGCCGCTCTGAGTCGGATCCAACTCAACAGCACATAACAACAAACAACAACAAGCTTCTTCCATCATTCCTTTCCTCCCATATCTTTCCCAAGATATGATTTCACTAGAGAAGTCAGATGGTGACTCCTTCCTAATTTCCTTCACTGAGTCATCATAAATTAACTAACATTGAAATGAAACTTGTGGACCCTCTTGACTGACTTCCTCATCTTACTGAAGTAGAATCTGGAATACAACTGGTTGGTGCAGACACTGCACTGGAAGATTCATGTTGTTGTTGTTGTTGTTGTTATGTGCTGTCGAGTCAAACCCGACTCATAGTTTGCTGTCAATCCTATGTTTCAATGGTTCCAAAATGGAGGCCGAACATGGAGAGACAAAACAGCCATGTTCATAGCAAAAGGTAAAGCAAAGTTGAAGAGTGAGGTCTGAGTGAATTAACGAAAGAATAAGAGAATTAACAATAATATTGTTCAAGTTTAGATATCCACTTGCCTGAGGGACAATTTCCATTGAGACAGCCTGGACAGACCTTGTAGAATCTACAGAAGATAGAATGTTTCAGAAATCAACAAAACTGGACCACCATGGGAAAAGCCTTTGCAAGATTTGTCTTGGAGACTTGGTATCTTAGCTCTTGTATTTTGTCATCAAGGGCTAATTTATTCTGTTACTCATATATCTGTCATATTTCTCCAAAAAGAATGTAAGCTTTTGAGAGCAGAGACACTGCCTCTGGTATCCTATGTAGCACCGAGCACAGAGGTAGGAACAGAGTAGATGTTAGTGTTTTTAGTTTGATCCCTTGATCCTCCATCTGCTACTACACCAGTTTCAAAGACAAAGTAAAACTGTGGGTGTGCCATGAATAGCATGGAAGCAAAACATCTAGGGACATATATCTAGTCTAAAAACGTAAGATCTTTTTGAAAGTAAAATCTAAAGCATGCCCCACTTTAGACTAAGTGAACAAACCTACCTTGAATATTATTTGTTGCCTTGATTCTTGGCTTTTTCTGCTGGATGTCTTTTGTAGTCAGAAATCTGATTCATTTGTACCACATAACCCTATAACCCCAGGAACACAGTCTTATTTCACTAACAAAGTCTAAAGACAAAATGATCAAAGAAATGTAAAGACTGAGTTGGTTTCCACAGATCTAAAATTTGGTAACTTAAGACTTGGTGCTCAGCAAAATTTGAGTTTCTATGAGGCTAATCTCCATTCAGGCTCAGATTGAGCTAATTTTCATTTCTCACAAAAAAATTAACATGTAAGAATGTCTAAGGCAGACCACTTGAATTTTTCAAAAGAACATTCCTGAAAAATGTGTGAGTCACCAGTGGATTGAAAACAAACTGCAAACAATTCCACACTGACGATGTGATTTAGGTGAGAATGATTACAACCTCAGCTCTAAACCAAGACATAAAGTAGATTCCTCACAGAGGTCAAACCCTTGTCATTTCACTAGGAAGGAGAGACTTTGAACAGGATGATGGGTAAGATCTGCCCCATCTCCTGAAAGATTCAGCAAACCAAAGAAAGGCACTCCATGCATGAACATGTGTAGAGGAAAACACCAGTGGAAGGAGCCAATGCAAGGGAAAACCCCTGAGTGAGGGTCTGCACATCCATGGTAAGGACTCAGTGAACATAACTGTGTCAGAATCTATTTCACACATAAAAGATATCCCTAAATACTAATCTTCCTCATGGGTCTTACCAGATGCCATCAATGTTTCAATCTAGCACTTAATGATTTTTTCACTAAGAAAATTCCATGGGGCTAGAACTGGGTCAATCTAATCTAAAACCCACCAAAAGGAGGACTGAGGGAAATACTTACTGGATTGAGAAGCCAAAAGCATTTAAGGTGTATGAGATGGAAACTTGAGATCAGAGAATTGAATTCC